GTGGTTTGCAATAGTATATTACACCTACTGTTACTCATGCTACTATTCCAATATGTTAAACTTGATTCCTTTCAACAATTTTGATCTTGACTTTTTGTATGCTAACTATGGAAGGGAAATAGTTTTTAGCAGAGTTATTTTAATTTTCTAATGAATGCATGTGAAACACATTATGCTACAATTAGTAGTCAAACTACACAGGGTCTATGTGTGTGTGCATGCACTTATCTGTTCATATATACATATATATGATGTGTCAATCTATTTATGTTTTTACCTATCTACTTGACTTAGTTATACACATTGTAATACATGCTGTTCTGACATGAACTGATTAACCAAGGACGCTAGTGCCTGTTGCTGGAGGGACAGTTAATAGTGTGACACCATAAAGACTCTTCCCCATGCTGGAAGAGATACTTTCCCCTTCAAACTTGAGAAGGATGACCTTGGTTTTAAAGAAACAGAGATTTGAAGCAACCATTACTAGGGCCAATTTCTTATGACCCTGGGCATTGGCCTGAGGCAAGGGGCAGTTATCTCGACAAGCAGATCAAACTGCGGGGGCATTAAACAGGAAGAAAAGGATCCCCACTGCCCGGAGGGGAAGCTATTTTTGGTGCTCCTTAAGGAGGAGGACCTGGGAACCCATCCTAGAACGTTGCACTTAAGATTCTGTGTATTCATTTACATATCCTAACAGCTTCCCTGATTAGGGTTATGGGTTGAGAGAACTTTCAACAAATCCTCTTTCCATCTTTTAAATTATACAGTTAAAAGAAGACTCCCCTGTAATGAGTAAATACCCCTCCCTGACCCTTGGCATCAAGATTCTGTTGCTCAGTCTGGGCAAAACCACTTAAACTGCCTCTTGACCACCTAATGAGGTGATTTGCTTATGTTTTTAGTTAAATGACATGGAAAAGAAACAACCTCATTTTTTTTTCTCTTTAGATAAAAGTAAAGGCATCTGAAAATGCAGTGTGAGTCAGTATATGATATACATAATAAAATAAGACCTCAAAAATTTTCCTTTGAAGCATCTTGCTTAAAAAAAGAATAAATAAAGTATATGCACGTACATGAATCTAGAGGCAAATCTTTTAGTGTTTAGTTGCTCAGTCATGTCTGACTCTTTGCAACCCCATGAACTATAGCCTAGCAGCCCACTCTGTTCGTGGGATTCTCCAGGCAAGAATACTGGAGTGGGTAGCCATTCCCTTCTCCAAGGATCTTGCTGACCCAGGGGTTGAACCGAGGTCTCCTGCATTGCAGGCAGACTCTTTACTGTCTCAGTCACCAGGGAAGCCCGTAAGTCTTTTTAGGAAGAATGAAATATTTTCCAAGTAGTGGTATAGATAGAATTGGCCCTAAAAATGTGTGATAGATAAAAATTTGCCTCTTTCTAGTTCTTTATAGCACTTTTTTGTCTATTCTTGGAGACCCAGAGTTTCTGGAGTTTAGAATCCAGCTCCAAAGAACTATCAGCTACCCTGTAGCCATCTTAAAATCCCCAACCCTAATAATGGTGCAAGATTTTGTTCTTCCTAGTGATTATTGCATTTTAGTAATAAAATGTTAAAGATTCAATGTGTTTAAGACCCCAAAGACTGGTATAAGTCTATGCCTCAGAGAGGTTTTTAGTTATAAACTTACCCTGGTACCCCCCAAAAAAGACAGAAATCTAGAGTTGGGATTTGAGAAGGAATTGAGCCTTTTGCCTGGGGAAGGGAGAGGAGTTTTCAAAAAGTATATAGAGCATATGGAAGGGCAAAAAAGTGTGAGATGGTCTGTTCTAATTGGAGAATGCCACATAGAGGTCACTGAGGTGACCGAGAGCATGGGAAGAATGGAGGGAGATGAGGCTGGGGTAGGAAGTCTGGTTCAGAGAGCACAGGGCCTGGAAAGTCATGCTAATTTAGAAGGTGAGCAGCCAGTAGACATTGTTTGAGCAGCAGAAGTGAAAAAAACACACGGTGTATCTACTGTCAGAGCAGTGCTAGGAGGATCAGTCTCATTCATGTATTCAGAGGTCATCAGTTGAACACCTACTAGATTCTATGACGCTCTTCTCCTGCCTTCAATATTTCCCAGCTTCAAGGTCTTTTCCAGTGTGTTAACTCTTCACATCAGGTGGCCAGAATATTGGAGCTTCAGCATCAGTCCTTCCAGTAAATGTTCAGGGTTGATTTTCTTTAGGATTAACTGGTTCAATCTCCTTGCTGTCCAAGGGACTCTCAAGGGTCTTCTCTAGCACCACAGTTCCAAAGCATCAATTCCTTGGCGCTTAGCCTTCTTTATGGTCCAACTCTCACATCCATACATGAGTACTGGAAAAACCACAGCTTTGACTATGGCCTGCCTGACGAGTCCGTAAATCAGATCCTTTGCCCATAGTGGGAGCATAGATGGCTGCATTGCTCTGCCTCTCAACTCTCCTCAATCTTTTTCAGCTGTCTTTGTACTTTTTTACCCATTGGAGAATTTTGTGATATTACCCTCTCAATGTTAATTGTACTTTTTAGTCATCTTAAAACATTGTTTTTCAATCTCTGGTCCTAACCTTTCTTTCCAGCATACTTACCCACTCCAAAAACCGTGCTTTCCAGAAAACAGTTGAAGTCTGATGATTCTCTGCCTTCTCATTCTTGGCTATATAGAAACTTAAGATGGCGTGATCATTTCCACTTCATTAAGCTACTTCTTTGTTGGTCAGAAACAAGTCTAGAGAAAAAAAAATCTCATTCCTACTCTCTTTTGACAGTGAATTTTCCAACAAGTCAGTTAAAAAAAAGCATCTGACATCTCCCAGAACCTTGAAATCCTCCCCAAAATACTGTGCGTTGCCAGAATATCTATTGTTTTGTATTTTAGGAACAATCTGCCCGTATTTCCTAGTCAGCCAGTCATTCCACAGTTAGCTCCTACGGTGATATTTTATTTTAGCTCTCTTTTCATCCTCACCCATGTGTTCTCTCCAGGAATCCGGCTCTTCTCTTGGAATCCCTTTTAAGATTTTTAGAACCTATTGGCTCCCATGCTTCCTCCTACTAGACTGTGGAATCACAGGATGCTATTTCTGCTTCAGATTATGTTTCATTCTTTCTAGAAAAAAAACCTTAGAGTAGTGAGATAGCTTTGGGAAACTATTTCTTCTCTATCTCCTCAGTATCACTGTCTTTTCAGTCATTACTTCTTGGCATTAGTTTTCTTTTAAGTCTTTATTGAATTTTCTACAATATCGCCTCTGGTTCTGTGCCCTGGCATTTTGGCCATGAGACATTCCGGATCCCAGATCTCCAGCCAGGGAGCAAACTCACACCCCCTGTACTAGAAGGTAAAGTCTTAACTACCAAACCTCCAGCGAAGTCCCAATCTTGGCATTAGTTTTTTTATTCTGTCACCTCAGTTTTTTTTTTCTTTCTGCCTTGTTCAAGGTTACTTCTTCCACCTGTAGGAACCTCTTGTTCTCCCCAAGAATCTTGAGAGATAGGAGACATGCCTCCATTCCTTTCATCATCTTCTCTAACAAAAAGACAACCTTAAAAAAGCTGAAAGTGATATAACCATGAAAAGTCATTTATGGTCACATCAGAATGGAATGCCATATGGCACATTTTCTTCATGCCTCTAGAACAATTGCCTTATTGTCCATACCTCCTGGATTTCCCACTGAGATGCCGTGTTTTGCAGCTTTACTTCAAAACTTTCCTTCTGAACTACACAGGCCACGTTTTCTTCACTACCAGTCTGCTGGGTGTATCAGGCTCCAGAAGCCATTGCCTATGAACTCAATGTGACACTCCTTATCCTTCATCACTCACCTGCGATAATCCAGCTGTTTGTTGATATTTAGTATCAGTTTGCACCAGCAAATTCAGTCCTTCAGTACATATAGGGCTATACCAGGCCTTTGGCTGAGTTTTTCCCAAAATATTTTATATATTTCAATCCCTTATCTCTAACTTCTTACCATATTTGTTTATCATTCTGCTTCTTATTTAATACCTAATGCTATTACCTACTAGTGTCAGGAACTGTGCTAATATTTTTCCTTTTATTTTCCTGGTATTGTGCTATGTGCATTTCCTGTATTAGTCATTGAATCTACACGGTTGCCCCTATGACATTAACCCTATCATTATCCTTACTTGCTGAAGAGAAAACCTGACATTTAGAGAAGTTTGGTAACTTAACCAAGGTCACAGAGTTCCTAAGACAGAGAGAGGTATTCTCTCCCAGGGGGGTTTTACTCTGGAACTTCAGATCTTAACTATTACCATATGCTACCTTACTCTATAGTGTTCATCACCATTCATATTAATTTAATATTTCTTAGTAACTTTGAAACCATGTTTCATTATCCTAATGGAAAAACTTTACTAGTTCTGGTTTTTCAAAAATAACTAGCTTAGATTTTCTGCACTGCTAGCCACTTTATTACCAATCTGAAAGCAAAGGAAAAAAAAACATATATAAAATGCTCCCAATATAAAATACAGAGCAAAGACAAGAACATTTCATTGGCTTTGATTTCTCTAGAGTCCACCACCAAAGTAATTTACTTCCTATTCAGGGAAATCGTAGGTTTGAAATAAGATCTTATCCAGTCTTTACTTTTTTTTCCCTCTTGATTAAAAAAAAGGTAAAACTTATTCACCTGGCACAGTCTGAATAGTTTCTATTTTTCTTTACCAGTTCCACAACCTGTATAATTGTCATTGAGAAGGACTTTCTAAATTAAATTAATTGCTCAGCCATGAGGATAATCAAAACCATTTTGAAAGACTATTAAATGTTTATTAATGAAAAGTTGGGATCTTTGAATTTTTCTATCATGCAGTACTATCTAAAGTATCCATATGGTTAGAAGAAAAACACATGCCATAAATAATACTTCGGCTGAAATTGTTGCCCTTACATCAGTTTTATTTTTATTGAAATTGGCTTCTTATCTTGTGTTTCTAATATGTTTTTTTCTTTTTTTAAAAAAATTTTAGCTCCTAGTCAGACTGTTGCTCTGGTGACACAACCTGTGGTTGCCAAGGAAACCGCTGTCTCCAAACTAGAAATGCCATCTTCCTTGCTGTTGGAGGTCCCTGCACTGGCAGATTTCAACCGGGCTTGGACAGAACTTACCGACTGGCTGTCTCTGCTCGATCGAGTTCTGAAAGCACAGAGGGTGATGGTGGGTGATCTTGAAGACATCAAGGAGATGATCATCAAGCAGAAGGTATGGGGGAAAGCAGATCACAGTTGGCAGAGGTTTGCTTGAAAGTGAAGACTTTCCACAAGTCGCTTAACTCTCCTAGACCGTTTCCCACCAGTTTTCATGCAGCTTTTTTCCATCAGCCAACACACTCCTCTGTTTACTGTGTTCAGTCCAAATATGATCAAGGAAACAAATTAATGCCATTGTCTAAAACAGCCATGAACTGCACGGGAATACTGGGAGTAAAAAACATAACCCTTAAAGTATAGTTGACTTAATGAAATTCACTAAACAGCTAGTATTTTAAAAATCGATTTTACATCAAATAAATACCTCATTTGAGCTATTTACATTTAAACTGTTTGTTTTGGTACTCTGCAGCCAAAATATATTCCAGAATCAAATATAATAATCTGGGAATTGTTTATTCAGTCTTCTGAGTTGTCCATGCCAATTTTCCTCCTCCAGTGGTAATTGGATAATTAAAAAAAGGATAATTGAAAATAAGCTACAAACAAGAAAAGTAACAAAACATAATGCATTTTTAAATAACATAGATCTTAATATTCATATTTATTTAATGCTATGCTCAGACATGTTTTTTAATGCAGAGATTGCATTTCTCGGCCTCATTGCAATCCACTCTGCAAAATTATGACATCAATGAGAGACATAAGAATACACTGAAATAAATATGATTTACCTAGCTAGAACAAATATACTGTATGTCTTATATTTCTGAATGAATAAGAAAAGTACTTTTGAAAGTTTTATATGCTGTAGCTTTTCACTTGTAAATGATTTTTCAAGTCATTATTCTGAAGAAGTAATAAATTGTACTAAAGTTGTTTAGCTGTTACAGAGCTACTTTTTGGAAAAACAGGAAGTAGGGGAAGACAGATTTCTCTTTAAAATGAACTCCAGCAATTCAGTAAGAATGCAAATTATTTAATAGTAAGCAACCTGCATTTAAAGTATCTTAATCTTAGACTCAGAAGACCTGAATTCAGTGGTCTTGTCTTTGTCATTTGCAAGTGGCATGATTGTAGTCAAACCATTCTCTGGATCTTGGTTTCCTCTTCTGAGAGCAAGGCTCAAAGAATTCACATTCGCATACATCATATCGTGTTGGTAATGTGTGAATATAAAGATATGTAAACATATATATAGTTAACTATATATTTATATAAATGTATAGTTGGTTTTATTACTACTTTATGACAAGTATCATTAGCCAAATTTTTCCAAAAAAGCAAATGAAACTCATAGACATCACACTCCTAATAAGTAGCAGAACAAAGATTCAAATCCAAGTCTGTCTGGTTTCTAAGTCTATGTTCTTACTGTGTATACTGCCTGCCAGTATTAACTGTAAACTTGGCTGCCATTTGGTGATACGTGTGTATTTGTCTGTGTCAGATGCAGTGCTTCTGTGTCAGATGCAGTGCTAAGCATTTTACAGTTGCAGTGTGCTGATATATACAGAGGGCTTCCCTGGTAGCTCAGTGGTAAAGAATCTGCATGCCAATGCAGGAGACTCAGGTTCAATCCCTGAGTTGGGAAGATCCCCTGGAGAAGGAAAGGCAACCCACTCCAGTATTCTTGCCTGGATAACCCCATGGACAGAGGAGCCTGATGGGCTACAGTCCATGGAGTTGCGAAGAATCAGACATGACTGAGTAACTGAGCAGACATGCACATTACATACAGAAACAAGAGGTACATTCTTTCACAGTATCATATTGAATTATACCAGTACTTCTGGAACTATCCCTAACCAGAGGAGGCAGTGTGTTATAATGTTTAAAACAAGGGCTTTGAAATTAGATTTCCTAAGTTTAAAGCTTGGCTCCTCTACTACAGCTGTGTGACCTTGGGTGAGTTATTCAACCTCTCTGAACCTGAGGTCATCTGTCTATACAATGTAGATAATGATGCTATCTTCCTTATAGGAGATCATGAGGATGTAATTGGGTTGTACATGGAAACGCCTCCCACCTTGCCTTGATCACTGAAACTATTCAACTAATGTTAGTGATTAATATTAGATTCTAAGCAAGCTATATAAATCTGCCTGTTCATGACCTTTGTGCTGTATGTCATATAATAATATTACATGAAAATAAGAGCTCATTTCCACACCTGGACCCCATTGTGCTCATGACATTACAGCCTCCTTTAAAAGCCAGTAGATACTAGAGTGGGAAAGGTAGTATACACTGTCTTGTGAAATGTTTGATGCCTCTTCAAAGTGATGGTCTTTAAATTACAGGTCCAAAAGTAATTCAGGGAAGTTCAAGTGCCAAGTCTGGGGTCACAGAAAGCCAGTACAGTTGTCAATCTGATGGGAGATTGCTTCTGAAATCCACCAAGATCTGCAGATGCTCAAGTCCTATAGTTGGCAGATAGGGAGGGTCAACTCTGCTAATTTAAAAAACAAAACAAAACAAAACATGTAATTGGACCTGCACACTTCAAACCTGTGTTGTTCAAGGGTCAATTGTATATAAATCTGTTCACACATGCACACACACACACCTGTAATCTCTCTTCTCTTGCTAAATAGTAGGGATGCTTTTCCTGCTTCTTCCCCTTATATTGAAAAAAATTATAAAGATCTTGCCAATTCTTGCCTTGTATAGCTTCAGTCACTACATGATCAGTAAAATGACTCTAAACATTAAACAAATTGTGTGTGGGGGGGATACAAAAAAGATGAGTTTGGGGAAATATTTATTATGATATCAGAAAATAAGTATTTCCTCTATATGGAGTTTTAAATAAAGGAATTCTAACTTTACTGTATGAGGTATAAGACATGAGGCAGTATCCCACAAGTGCTTTATAAACTGTAAAACACTATCTGCCTATTTATTCATATATTCTTATGGTAAGTTTATATTGAACTACTACTTAGTGCCTGGGAAATACAGAGTTGGACAAGATAGGAATGCATAGATTAAAGAAGATGAGGGAGGGGGAAAGCATTGACAGCACTCTGATAGAAATAAAGTTTAGCACATATTTAGCATTAATGATGTCCCAGCCACTTTTCTAAGTACTTTGTGTATACTATGTGTGGGCTTAGTCACTCGGTCATGTCCGGCTCTTTGCAACCTCATGGACTGTAGCCTGCCAGGTTCCTCTGTCCATGGGGAGTCTCCAGGCAAGAATATACTGGAGTGGGTGGCCATGTCCTCCTCCAGGGGATCTTCCCAACCCAGGGGTCAACCCAGGTCTCCCACATTGCAGGCAGATTCTTCACCATCTGAGGCACCAGGGAAGCTCTTGTGTCTACTACTTAATGTTTACAACAATACTGTGAGACTTACACTGAAGCAACTTACCCACAGGGCTTCCCTGGTGGTCCAGTGGCTAAGACTCTGTGCTCTCAATACAAAGGGCCTGGGTTCAGTCCCTGGCTGGGGAAACTAGATCCCACATCCTCCGACTAAGACCTGGTGAAGCCAAATAGAAATAATCAAATTTTAAAAAAAGAAAAAGAATCTGCCTAGCAGTGCAGGGGGTGAAAGTTCAATTCCTGGTTGGGGAACTAAGGTCCCACATGCTGTGGAGCAACTGAAGCTGTGTGTTGCAACTAGACAATCCATGTGCAGCAGTGAAAGATCCCTGCATGATGGAGCTAACACCTGATGCAGTCAAAAAAATAAATAAATATTTTAAGAGGTAACTTGCCCATGGACACAGAATAAAAAGACAACAGTGAGATTTGAACTCAAGCAGTCTGGTCCTGGAATCCCCACCCTTAATCACCACAGTCTTCTGCTTCCCTGGATATCCTCGGGTGATGCTCCAGAGACTAACTTCATGGCAGGGACATCTAACTCAGCCAGTGAGGAGGATGGATGTCAGAAAAAGCTTCTTGAAGAAGATAAAACCTAAGCTAAGCATTCAGGAACAAGTTGGAATTAACCAGGTAGATTAAATGACAGAGGCCAAGTGCTTTTCACTGAGGTAAACAGTGCAGTGTTATAGATAGTTTGATTCCATCTGGCTGGAACTAAGGGGATGAGAAGGGAACTGATGTTGCATAGAGAAGTGTAGAGCTAAAATATGGGGATTCTTCCTTACCAGACTACAGAGAGTTTTTTTTTTTTTAATTGACATGTGATATTACAGTAGTTTCAGGTGTACAATGTAGTGATTGGATATTTTATCTATTACAAATTTTTACAGTTTAATTCATTAATCTGCTATAAAATAAGCCATCCTACACAACTATTACACTATTGACTAAGGAGTTCTGATTATGGCCCACAGGTGGTGGCAACCCTTAAGGAATTTTAAACAAAGAAGTGTTGATAAAAGCATCAAATGTAATTTAGTTGCATATTATTGATAGTTAGGTTTCTCTCCATGCAAGCAACAGAAACATCCTCTGATTAAATCAAGCAGAAAGTAAACTTTCTCTAATTAGCATGAAGGCAGTGGGAAGAGATGGGGCTTCCCTGGTGGCTCAGTGGTAAAGAACCCACCTGCCAAGGTAGGAGATGTGGGTTCAGTCCCTGGGTCAGGAAGATCCCATGGAGAGGGAAATGGCAACCCACTCCAGTATTCTTGCCTGGGAAATCCCATGGACAGAGGAGCCTGGCGGGTTACAGTCCATGGAGTTGCAAAAGAGTTGGACAGGACTTAGCAACTGAACAAAAACAATGGAAGAAAACCCAGAAAAAGAAAAGGGATCTAAGTGTGCCTGGGCATTTAGTTAGCAGGCTCTACTCGAGTCTCCTTGTGATATTCTTTTTCTCTTTATTCTGTGTAGCTGTTCAAAATTTAAAGTCCTAGGAGTCCAGCTGACCTTGCTTAGGTCACACCCCCACCTCTTAGCTAAAAGAGAGCAGAGAACATTGATTTAAACCCCTCTTCTTCCAAAGCTCCTTACACTGGAGGAGAGATCTTTTACCACCCCCCTCCCCCCAGTCTAAGCAATATGTTTATTTCAACTTTGCAGTATAGAGACCTGAAATAAAACTATTTATGCCCCAGTACTATAAATATAA